TAAACAGTGGCGCTAACATAAAAGGGAACACACAAACATCCATCCATTTTCTACCCTTTAATCCATTTCTGGGTCAGGGGGGTGGCAATCAGAGATGCCACCCAAATCTCATAGCACCAGCCCCTCACTGATCCTCTGCAGGTGGTGAGTCCACAAGAGCTGAGATCTTCCAGCGGGGGCTTTGGGCAAAGTGGGGTTAAGTGTCTTGCCCAAGGACACAACAACAGCAGTCATCAGTGGGAGTAGGTGGAGAAGGTGTAGAGGTGGGAATTGAACCCACGACCTTCTGGCCTTAAGGCCAATGCTCTGCCAACTGAGCTACTGTCGCCCCGGAACACACAAACAACACAATTTAACTCCCAGTGAATCACATGTCTCCCTGCATGTTGATTGTACTGCAGCCGTTTCACAGCCTGTTTGGACAGACCTGTGAGCAGGCCATTGCAGTAGTCTAACCTACTGGAGACAAATGCATGGATAAGAATCTCCAAGTCTGCTTTAGACACTATGTTTTTGATCCTGGCAATGTTTTTTAGATGGTAAAAAGCTGCTGATGTTACTGATTTGATGTGGCTATTAAAATTTAAGTCTGAGTCCAGTATTACCCCTAGATTTCTGACCTTGTTTGAAGGTTTTAGGGAGAGAGACTGTAGGTGACAGATGACGCTCTCTCTTTGTTTCTGGGGACCAAAGAAAATCATTTCAGTTTTGTCTGCGTTTAGCTGAAGGAAGTTGTTTTGCATCCACTCACTGATCTGTTGGATACAGTGAAGGAGTGAGTCCACTGGTCCATGTTCTCCTGCAGTCAGTGAGACATAGATCTGAGTGTCGTCTGCATAGTTGCGATAGGACACTTTGTTTCTGCGTATTAACTGACCTAACGGCAGCATGTAGAGATTGAAGAGAAGAGGTCCCAGGATCGACCCCTGTGGTACTCCACAGGGGTCTGGGCTGGAGACAGCCCAGCGCACCAGAAAAAGAGGAACGCTTCTGGAGCAGCACCGGGATCTGCTCCGTGGTGAACAGAAGAACAGAACGAAACTCAACAAAATGTGTCCAAACAGAGTCAGAAACTGACTCCAAAGGTCCCAACGTCCAAAAGTGGTTGCATCCGTATAATAATTGTCAATACATTCATTCATCGCCTTATTACTTGGCTTTCTGACTTTTTTATTGATTCCCTCAAGCTTGAGTTACTCTTTTAGATGTAACTATGTAAATTCGACACAAAGACGAGTGTAGCTAGACTTTCTATTCACAGGGATCTGCCTTTGAAATCTGCTACAAATCTGCGTTTCGGCCATAGACTGTATATATTAATGGACAGAGTGACGCCTATCTCCGCCGTTCTAACTAATGGGCCAAAAAATGTGCTCTACTGGAGCAATCCAAAATGGCCACGAGTGGTCCCGCTCACAAGAAAATTGTGAAAAAACGCATCTGCGCATGTGTCAGCCGGCGCAACTCCATTCATTTGAACGAGAGACTTTGAGACAACGGAGCTTTGAGCCAAGAGCCAACTTTTGGACCATCCTGTAAAGACGTTTTCGAGAGGTCTGCCAATGCTATATGTTTGCATTGGCTAATTCTACTTCTGGGTCCACCCCCATCGGCCCGGGGTGGTATAGCAAGCATGTCAGCGCACGTCATTTTCAGAATCAGAATCAGAATCATTTTTATTGCCACGTAAGTAACAGGAGGTCACAGACTAGGAAATTGCTTTGGCTCAGTGCAACAGTCAAAAAGAGATAATAAAAATAAGAATAAAAAACACTTCTAAAGAATAAATTTAAATTTAAAATAGAGTTACAGTTACTATTTACAATATACAAGTGCACATGGTGCACACAATGTAAGGTGACAGCAGTACAGTGAAGTAAAGTGACGAATGATGGGCAGTATCTGATGTAGCTGATGGTCGGCTCCCACTTGAGGTCCTGGGTGATGGTGGTGCCCAGGAAACGGAAGGACTCCACAGAGGTGATGGGGGAGTCCATCACGGAGGGTGGGGGCGGGGGGACAGTGCTCTTCCTGAAGTCCACAATCATCTCCATGTCTTCTGGGCGTTCAGCTCCAGGTTGTTACCACTGCACCAGGACACCAGCCGGTCCACCTCCCTCCTGTAGGCGGACTCATCGTTGTTGGAGATGAGTCCAATGAGGGTGGTGTCGTCCGCGAACTTGATCAGCTTCACGGAGTCGTGGCTGGAGGTGCAGTGGTTGGTGTACAGGGAGAAGAGCAGGGGAGAAAGAACACAGCCCTGTGGGGCTCCTGTATTTATAATCCGAGAGTCCGAGACATTCTTCCCCAGACGCACTCGCTGCTTCCTGTCCGTCAGGAAGTCAGTGATCCACCTGCAGGTGGAATCGGGCACGTTGAGCTGGGAGAGCTTGTCCTGGAGCAGGGATGGCAGGATTGTGTTGAAGGCAGAGCTGAAGTCCACGAACAGGACCCTGGCGTAGGTCCCCGGGGAGTCCAGGTGCTGTAGGATGTGGTGGAGGGCCAGGTTAATGGCGTCGTCTACAGATCTGTTGGCTCTGTAGGCGAACTGCAGGGGGTCCAGGAGGGGGGAGGTGAGGGACTTGAGATGGGAGAGAACCAGGCATTCAAATGACTTCATGACGACAGACGTAAGTGCTACAGGTCTGTAGTCATTGAGTCCTGTGATCCTGGGCTTCTTCGGGACGGGGACAATTTGACGGGGACAATTTGACCACTTTTGAGCTGGAACCCTCCCCCACTGGTTTCGGCCAGACACTTCACAGACTGCTCGTTTACCATGAAACTGGACTGACTCAAAGGCTGATCTGGAAACCTGTGTTATGTGAGTACAATGCAACTAACTCGCGTATACTTCTGTGAAACAAATAAATAGGGCCTGATTTTGGAGGGGCTCTGATCTCATTGTTTGAAAAGAATTGTATAGGACAAACCCTATCAATCCCTAAGGAAATTACAGTGGTGCCATGAGCTGCTCTCATTCACACAATCACAGGTACATACAGTAATAAATAAGTTGCTAAAATATTAGAAAAACAGTGAAGTTTGAAACATTAAAAGTCAAAAGTTTATTCTCAGGTCTGAAATGATTGTGTATTGGTGGAAGCTAAATAGTTGAGTGTTTTTTATATTTACAGTCTATGGTGTTTACAAAGTCAGCGTGAGGGTGGGGGGAGGCGGGCTCACAGGGGTAGGAGCACAGGTCCAAGCATTTGCACAGATGCCACATCAACTATTTTGGCTATACTTTCTAAGTTATATTGGTTGGTGCAGTATATCACCCAAATTATGTATTTAAATGTGTTTGGGATGGACTGCAAAAAATGAAGAAAAGCGAAATATAGGACCTTTTAAACAATAAACCAAATAATCCCATTACGTAGTGGACATTCATGATATATGTCTCAGATTATACAGTATATGTCAAATGTATATAAAATACACGCTTTATTACAGTGAGTGGTGTTCACAGTCCCCACATGGCGTTTGTGAGGGTTGTGCTTAATAATTGTTTTGGTTAAACCTGTTCACACAACATTATGCACTTATTACATCAACCCAATTTGTGGTGTATCAAAGCGTCACTGGATTCAAGCCAAAGACATTCCATTTATTCATTTTGAAAGAATGATTTTTAATTACGCTTTTACACTTTTGCTATTTTAGGTACGGCCGCATTGAACTCTTCCACCTCTGCAGAACAAGAACGACAGCTCCCATGCCTGTTTTCATTATTGACAATGTGTGATGTAAAATAGGTCTGGGGACTGAGATGATCATTCCAGAACGTTGTGCTTGTTTCTTAGAATGCTTGTGCTCCACATGGCACCAGCCCCTCACTGATCCTCCTGCAGGTGGTGAGGCCACAGGAGCCTTGATCTTTCAGCGGGGGCTTCAGGCAAAGTGGGGTTAAGTGTCTTGCCCAAGGACACAACAACAGCAAACATTAGTGGGAGCCTTGAAGTAGGTCTCATGGTGGGCTCGAACCCATGACCTTCAGGCCCAAAGGCCAATGCTCTACCACCTGAGCCACTGTCTCCCTTTCCTGGACATTGTTCGAGTAGAATCCATGCGATTCTAAATTTTAAGAACATCCCCAGTGTGCACGGGACACACAGCCCACAGCAGGATGGAACCAGCACAGCATTTTTCTGTTGTTTTTCTTGTTTTTCTTGGAATGCATAATGCTCCTTGTTTTGCAAGAGTTTGCAAGAGGACAACTGAAGATACAAAACCATGAGTTCCAATAATTAGTATAAAAGGTATTCAAATCAAGACAATTTGGAAGGGTTCTTAAATGTATGCACATGTCTGATTTACGCACATTTTCTGTAAATTATGCAAACTTGATTTCCCTTTTGAAATAGCCTGTGTTCGCAAACTATAAAATCCTTTACGCCTCTAATATGGGTTTGCGTTACCGCCGTTATTAACACGTTTAGCTGACAGCTGAACATGTATAAAACGGCTATTGTATATACTGTATTACCTATAGTGTAGGAGCGTAATTAAAAATCTTTTTAAATGAATAAATGGAATGTCCTAAAAAAAAAAAACTATGATTTTGTTTTCTGGGTGCCTACCTATTTGCATGTCTTTTACAATTAGCAAGTAAGCCAGTGAGTAAGTAATTAATTAAGTAAGAAAGTAATACATCAATCTTTAATAATATCGACTCACAAAGCACCATCATTTTCTCTTGGGGAAGCTTGTAGTTCAGCAGGTTGTTGGCCACACCCCTGACCTGCCCATTGTGGAGCAAACAGGCTTCCTTTGGGACGCTGCCAAGAGTCGAGCACAGATTTGCATTTTGACACTGGATACGAAACTTTTCACAAGAGGTGAGTGAGACGCTTTGTTTTGTTATTTGATGCCACTGTCTTTCTGCTGCAGAGGCTGATTGGTTTGATCTGATTCAGACATAATATAAAACCATTCTACAGGTGAGCATCCATACATGTGTTTGGGGAAGAAGTAAGGTGGAGCTCCTACTGTACATCATGCTCAGCCTCCTGTGTCTGTCGTTCCTTCTGACAGGTGAGTGGGAATAAAATTTACACTATATTCTACCTAAATCCGAATGTATTTTATTTTACTTTAATTGTACTGGAAAGAAAAAATGGCAGTGCAGGTCTCACAGTATGCCCATTTTTAACCCTAACCCTCACAAGCAATGAATTTTCTGTGTGTAGAAATTCATTTTATTTTTGTAGCGATGAATTTTCTTTATAGCAAGGAATTTTCTTTGTGTAGCAATGAATTCTCTTTGTTTTAATACCAGTTTTCTTATGACCACTCTTTTATGTTATTGTTGCAGTAAACTAAACTAAACTAAACTGCATTTTCCAAAGGATATGCAAAATGAGGACAATTGAGACAAAAGCTGGAGCTGAGTGAAAAATGTACAAAGGCTGTGTATCTATGGTGTTGCTACACTATGAATAAATAGAGTAGGAACCCTGGTTGTAGAATGCAAAATACTTTAAACTACTACTAATAGAATAATCATATGGAATTTCTGTATCTTTTCTGTTGATTTTTATGCTGTATGAAAAATATGAGTTTAAATAAATACATACTTACTTACTTACCTATACTACATAACTTAAATTATATATATATCTTTTAGCTGTCTGCTTAGCGGCTCCTACTACAGTGCAAACAAACACGACTCTCGACATTTCAGCCTGTCCAATCACATACTTTGGCGGTGGACCGTATACTGCTTTTAATGTAAGAATGGATTCACTGCCTCTTGTCTCTCTGACTCTGTTCTTGCTATAATCTTGTATAATTTCTATGCCTTTGATACAGACAGCCTTTTCTGGGACCATCTCATTCACCTTCAGCTCCACAGACGAGATTACGTTTCCAAACTCTGCCGTAGCCGCAATTCATTATGACATTTTGCCTGCCGCTAATCTGACAGCTGTTGATGTGAAGAATGCTGCGGCCGCCATTGAGACCACGCTCAGGCGGCTTCCAGCTTCTGCGGTGGAATGTTGTATTAAAATTAGTGCCACATTCAATGGACCAACGGTGAGTGCTTTACCGGAATTCAAATAATTCGCCAAATCTAACTTTTTTCAATTATAAAGTAACTAAAGGAGACCTGGGCAAAGTCCGGTCCGGGTGCCACATACGGCCCGATTTACATTTCTATGTGGTCCTCTAACCATTTTTCACATCTGCAAACAACATACCGTTTGCCCCTATTTAAATGAATGTGGATCAATAGCCAAATTAAAGACATAAAGGAGGATTATCCCGAATTTTAGGAAAGAACCGCCCACTCCACTTTTTGAACAAAACTCTTTGGTCTTATTTGATGAGCATGTATCACCAGAATGATTGACAATTGGGAGGACAAATAGTTTTGATGATCCACCCGGAAGTAGAAAGTCCTCCTATACACCCCTTTAGGTTTCATATGAGTGCTATGATGGCATGTTATACCTCATAATAATTAATCAAAAACATGTATCTGTCTACAATGCTGAGGCTTCTTTAGCTCTAGTCCAGTTTTGGTTAAATCCAAGCAAGAGTTGAAATCTAAAGACAAAAAAAAAATATATTTAGTCCATGTTTGATAGTAAAGCCGCAGATGCAAAAGATTAGAGTTAACACAATTTACACTTTACAATTGGGGAATGTACACTTTCAATGTCATCATATTGTTATGGTATAGTGATATGGACATTTTAAAAGATCTGATTGTCACACTGTAAAAATCCACTACAGAATAATACATAAAAAAACAGAGCCTTAAGAATATGCCACGCAGTAGAAATAATATAATATGAGCTTTATAATAACATTTAACACAGATTCTTAATGTCGTCCTCAGATCACAGTCTAGTTTAGTTTGTCATTATTCCACAATTCTCTTTAAAAAAATATTCTTGTGTACAGAACATATACATCTTCAGCTACGGGTCACAGACAGCTGCTTTTGTAGACGCTGATATTGGAGCGACAGATGTAAGTACACTTGGATTTTTACTCTTTTCATGTTTTTGTAATTTGTCATTGTATGCATTGTCTGACTGCTGCCAAAAAAGGAAACAGCTACAAGTTTTACAATCAAGGGCATTGCACAATCCTGATCATGTCCCATAAATATGTCTGTCATCGTAGGCATTCACCTTTAGTTACTTTGGGGATGGATCTTATTCCACAAAAGTACCAGGAGCTTTCTCACAGGCTGTGGACCTAACTCGATGCAGAGATGGTAAGCAAGACAATAATAATTTGTCTGTATTTAGTTTGGAGTTTTCCATTGTTCTGCCCTGATTGCTTAATTGCCTTATTAACTTAAGCCATAAATCACAGCAGCAGCCATCTCGGAGGACTTTAAAAATGTGTCGATTCGCCAACAACAGGCTGTAGATCCGGGCCTCAAGCTGTAGAACCAGGCATGAGGCTGTAGATCCAGGTCTGAGGCTGCAGATCCAGATTTGAAGCTGTAGATCCAGTTCTGAGGCTGTAGATCCAGGTCTGAGGCTGTAGATCCAGGTCTGAGGCTGTAGATCCAGGTCTGAGGCTGCAGATCCAGGTCTGAGGCTGCAGATCCAGATTTGAAGCTGTTGATCCAGGTCTGAGGCTGTAGATCCAGGTCTGAGGCTGTAGATCCAGGTCTGAGGCTGTAGATCCAGGTCTGAGGCTGTAGATCCAGGTCTGAGGCTGCAGATCCAGGTCTGAGGCTGCAGATCCAGATTTGAAGCTGTTGATCCAGGTCTGAGGCTGTAGATCCAGGTCTGAGGCTGTAGATCCAGGTCTGAGGCTGCAGATCCAGGTCTGAGGCTGCAGATCCAGGTCTGAGGCTGTAGATCCAGGTCTGAGGCTGTAGATCCAGGTCTGAGGCTGTAGATCCAGGTCTGAGGCTGCAGATCCAGGTCTGAGGCTGCAGGATCCAGGTCTGAGGCTGTAGATCCAGGTCTGAGGCTGCAGATCCAGATTTGAAGCTGTAGATCCAGTTCTGAGGCTGTAGATCCAGGACGGAGGCTGTAGATCCGCGTCTGAGGCTGAGTGGAGCAAGACTGAAGAGGCTCAAGACGGGGGTAGGCGATGGGGGTACAGCCCATGAGTCCAGGACGAGAGCGACATGTTCAGTGGTGCAAGCTCGAAGAGACCTGGTTCAATAGTTCCCTCATCGTGCTATGAAACAGGCAATGAGACAGCAGGTGTATAGCAATGAACAGACTACAGAAAACCCCAGAATCCCAGCTAAGTTTCTCCATAAAGACAGATAGACACAGTAGATACTTTATTGATCCCGGTAGGAGAATATCCAGAAGCAGAAACACAAACAAATATGCAGCCAATCAAACGTCTTTTCTCAGACACCAGAACCTATGCAAGTGGAGAAATAGTGGCCACTTATGATGAGACCTGCTCCTCCGACATCTGCCAACCCTCTGGTGTCGTGGAGTTAACCAACGACTGTGGCCCGGGACAAGTCTGCATGGGCTTGGGGTGATTACAATATTTTGCTTTTTCATATTTTTTGAAATGTCACTCATATTTGACTCCTCGAATGATTATCAACAATAACTATCTAATTCAAGTTTTTGTGTGAATGTTTTAATCGAGATTGACTAATATGGGTATTCTTGCCAAGTTCAATTTTAAAGGACAATTTTCTTCACCAAAAAAAAAAATAATAATAAAGTGAAAGGCTGCAAATAAACAGGGTTGTTGCTGTTGGAAATGCTCTATTAGCAATTAGGGCAGTTACGGTTGTTAGCTTGTTACATAATGCCTTGAGGATATTGAGGAGAATAGCTTTATTTTTGTATTATTTGTTTATTATGTATATTTTGATATTTTATTACTCGATATCAGGAGTTTGGATAAGATTTAATAAACACAAATAGTTATAAATATTTGTGGAAGACTGGCTTATAGCTCATCAAAATAAAAAGTACCAAGCTTACTAATGAGTGATTTACAGATTGTATTTATTAATCATTTATTAATTATTACTAATTGCTGTTACATTGTTTCAGAAAAAAAATTACACAATTGTTGTGTGATAAGAATTGCATAAAACTTTGTATGACAAGCACATAGCAATAGATGGGAAGACATCAAGGCAGATTGGAAATTTCTAATATATGGTTCCCTGGGCGTACTAAACCATCGTACGAATAACATTTCGTTCTAAGGTCTGGCTTTGCTCCATTGAGCTCCATTTAAAGGGTGGGAGGGGTTAACTCCTTTTGCAGATTGAAACTATTGAATCTGAGTTTACCATGACATATGTAATGTACCCGAGTGAGTTGTTAGCATTTAGCATTTAGCCTAGGTTCAGCCATCTCCTTTGCCACTAATGGAGCCCGTGGGGAGTAGCGCCAAAATCTTTGCCAGCAATTACATTTGCTAAACATTCCTCTTGTGCTATTGCACTACTAGTTAGACGCTAAACTACATTTTGTTGCGTTGTTTTGACTTTCTAATGACAATAAAGTTGAATCTAATCTAATATAATCTCTTCCTCCGGCTTCAATTCCTTGATAGAACCAGAACGGATTACTTTACTATCGCATTCGAAAGGGCCATTGCCAAACTACAACCAGCAAATTCGGCGCAAACTTTTGACCCACATCTACCTACAACACCCGCCTCCCACGCTTGCTGAGTGGTCGGATAGAATTCAACTGATGTAATTGCAGACACAGGGACTAGACCCACAGGGTAAATGCAGAAAAATCATAACCGACCGGAGTTTAGGCCAGGCTCGGCAAAAGGTGCAATACAAAGTTACAGTACAGTGTTTTTCTTGTGTTCATTTTTCCCTCTTGACCTTTGACGTCTCTCAGATGTGGCGCCCGGCACTCCTGCTCCATCGTGGCGAACAGCGTGGTGGATGTAAACGGCGACACCGGTGTTATTCCTGATTTCTGCGCCTATGACATCATCACAGCTCCAAGTTTCACCATGACCGCCTTCCTCCGCGAGCGCCGCCTCACAGACACCCCTTTCGTGGATTCTGTAGACATCTATACAACGCCATCGTTGGACCATGTTTCTCTGGGCCAGGGAGGGAACGCCAAAAAGACGGCGTGTGGTCGACCTTTGGATCAAGCAACTTTAGTAGAAGTAAAAAATATTGATTTCATTAATCAATAGTGTACACAGCATGCACAGTACTTTTCACAGCTTCTGAACTTGTTAAAATAGTTTTCTCTTGTGATTTATATTTTTAAATTTCTCTTTGTGTAATTAATTTACCCTAAGCTCTGAAAACAAAAGAGTGCCAATGTGTTTCTTTTCTTTCTTTCTTTATCTTTTTAAGTATTACAATTTCCATTTTACTCAAATAGGACAAGCCACGTGTGTAATTACCTGAAACATGTTTTTCCTTCTTTAATGAATACACACAGAACTTAAATAAAAAAGATGGATGGAATTTGTGTCTAAATTTTTTATTGAAGGGATAGTTTACAGAAACATTTAGCTCATAGAGACAGGTATGTTCTGCACCAGATTATCTGATAGACTTTATTAATCTCTTATAGAAAGATAGCTAGTTTCCATCGGATGCACTTTATGTAAAGACAAATTCAGAAAAATAAATTATCCATCATTCATCTGTTCTCTTCTTTCTCAAACATGTGTGACAGAATATGCATTTGTTTCCACAGGTTTCTGGTGCAGACACAGCTTTGACCCTGAACTCGTCGGCAGTGACCGTGTTGGGCTTAGAGCTGTCCGACAACGGCACTGGACTCCTGGCCTTGTTCACGGACCACAACAACATCATCACAGAGGTTTTCTTCGACGGCACTTTACTGCACGTGAAACACACAGGTGCTTTTTCCAGCCATTCAACAGGAAAACATGCAGCACTTGTTTTTAACGTGACTTTTATCTCTGCCATATTCACATATGTGTATTATGTGTTATGTTTATGTATAATGTGTGAACTGTATGAAATGTATTATGAATGAGTTTGTATTGTATGTGTATGCATGTGTGTGTGTTTGTGGGTATCTTTGTAAATGAGGATATGTTCTCATTTGATCCGACCTGGTTCAATATTAAATAAATGTAAAGAAAATAAATAAAATCTGTATCGTTTTTAGACGTACTATGGTCAAAATTCAAAGTCTATGCCTGTAAAGAAGATTTAAAACTGAACTACTTTCACTTTTTGGGTATACACAGGTAAAACCAGCAGGGGAGTGGTTTAAATAACACTTACACATATCTGCACATGAAGCATATATTAAGTTGTGCACATCACATGCAAAGCTGTCAAGAATTGACTAACAGACTATGCTGTCTCTGCTGTAATGTGCGCAACAATGACACTGAAATTTCTCCACTGTGAGACTAATAAAGGTTCATCTTATCTTATCTTATGTAATGCACAAAGCCCACATTCTTACTGCAGTAAAGGGGCTAATGACAATAAAGGAGTGGAGCAGCAGTAACTGTCAATCACAGCTCTTTCTGATGAGTTTTACGAGTTGGACTGGTTTCACAAACAGCTTGTAACGAATGATCATACGGTATTTACAGTAGTTTTTAGGGTGGGGAAAGTAAGAGAACAGTTTTTTTTAGTTTTTTTATTTATTTTTTATTTCTTGTACACAAACCAAAAGTGAACAACAGGTAACCCACCCACCCAACCCCAAAAAAAACCTCATGCATACACTCATTCACACCAGCATGCTCACAACAAATCTCTAACTTATTTAAATTAACTGTTCTTTTAGTATAGTCCTCGTTGTCATCATCTTAATATTCCAAAGTTTAGCGTTTACCAAAAAGAAAAACAACAACCAATCACAAAAATAGAAACTAGGAACAGAAACAAAAAGATAAAATACAATAATAATGTTAATTAAAGGGAAGAGAGAAATTAAAAAATTGCAATACATACACACATACACCTACATATATATATAAACACACCCATATACATATCTACATATATATATATCTATATATATATATATATATATATATATATATATATATATATATATATATATATATACACATATCTACATATATATATATATATCTACATATATATATATATATATATATATATATATATATATATATATATATATATATATATATATATATATATAATGTGTGTATGTATATATTACATACATGTGCACACACATATATATATATAACTAAATTTTCAACTCATGTAGGTAAAACATGTAAGTAAAACCTCCATTTTGTATCAAACTGTGGTAGTTTCTTACAGTTGGTGGCAAATATTTTTCCTAAATTATATTGATAGCAGATTCTATTTTTGTGTGTTTTAAACACAAGCATGTTTTTGTTTTAGCTTTAGAAATAAATATCTTCCCCAATGTTATAACTAAATTTATAAACGGGACATAATCATCCCCCAAAATACCCAACCAAATGTTCATGGGTGTGAGTACTAAAGTATAGATTTTAGCCAGAACTGAACAGACGTCCAAAACTTTGCAACAAATGGACAGTAATAAAATAGTAAGAGAGTAAGAGAACAGTTTCCAGAATGGACTCACAGCTCCTGTTTGCTCCTCGATACGTTTTGTTTTTGTTTCAGTGGTTGAATGCTACCAGAGACAATATAATTTCCGGACATTTTTTCTCAAGGACTGTATAAACACAGTTGTGCAACTTGACGAATTCAAACTTCAAATGTTGAAAAATAGGAAAATGTATTTGAACAGATTTGAGATCTATTATTGTAGTGAACAAATGTACAAACTACTGTGTTGGTGAAGTGGAGATTTCATTTTAAAAGTCTTGAATGGTTCTTGGGAGCAGGACAGACAAGATTGCATATTCTTTCCTGTTTTGTTATTGATGATACTTTGCAGTTTAAGTGTATAGATGGACAATGCTAACCCCCAGCTCACGGAAACCCAATGGGGAAATGCTCATGGAAAAGTTTTGCTCTGTCTCTTCTTGACTTTGTGACGGGGTGAGCCCGTCCCTGAGCCCGCTGTCCCATGTGAGGATGTGCGCGCCCGGTGTCATGGTGGCTGCGCGCCGCGCCCATACCCATTCATTGACTATTTCTAGTATGAGGACGTGTTTGTAACATGTAGCGTGCGTGAGCGGGTCTTCAGGGTGCACACTTGCAAGTGTTGCATGGTGCAGTTAAATCTAGTTACAGTGTCATTCACTTGTCTGTGTGCTGGCGTGGTCGTGGCGTCTCCATGATGCGTTTTGGCAAACCCGGACATAAGGAGCCAGTGGATTAAATGCACCTGTCTGTGGGTCATGTGGACCGCAACTCATTTGCATGAACATGTATGTGTGTCGCTTGAAATGTATTTTACTGTATGTATGTACCCAAGTGCAAATCTATGTAATCATGAACCTAAGGAAAGAACCATGTATTGTAGATATGGTGGAAAATTAGGATGATCGATTTGTAATGTGGGAGGGGCCAGCAGGGTACATAAGGTCTGTTTGTCTGCCCCATGGCAGTCGTGACTCATTACAGAGAAGGTAATGTGGACTGCAGGTGCTTGAGTGAAAAGCTAAGGAAAAAGAGACTTTGTGTTGAAGTTGTGTATATTTTTTTGTAAATATCCTTTTTGCCTGTAGACTTTTCACTGTGCTCTGTAAATACGTTTTTGTACATTTCCCACTGTTTTTTTCTACTGAGAGTTTTTAATTAAAAACCTCTGAAAACTGCCTTTCTGACCCAGCCATCGGTATGTGAAAAAGAACCCATAACAGACTTTGTTTGAAAAGTGAACTCCTCTACCGCTCTGTCCCTTTGGGCTTTAGAAATTCTTGGTTTAGCACCATATTCCAACCAGGTGGTATATTGTGATATCTGTAAATTTAGATATGAGCCCAAACAACTGAACCAATCAGGAGCCTTCTGTAGCTGAATTTGCAGAAATTTGCAAAGATTTCCACTCAAAAGACTGTTTGAGGTTGCTCCAATAGGATGACACTATGTACATTGACCAGATGCTGAAGTCACCCAGTCTATTTTACACATGAACAACACATGAAATTTTAAAAGTAGATTATATTCAGTAAGAAATCACAGCATTTGTTATTAATACCCATGTGAATAATCAATTAAATGTATTTTTGTATCGGCATAAATCATGTGAGTCGTCACGGAGGGCCTTTCCAAAGTTGTCGACTCGCCAACACAGATAAGAGAATCAAACAGTTCGAACACAAGAAGTGCAATAATAACAAAATAAGAACCATTGGTCCATAGGGAGATGGATGACCAATGTTCATAAATGTCCCTGAATGTCCCGGATCATCACTGTCCTTAGACCCTGCTGCGGTTCCAGTCGACTAGAATCGTCAAGTCGCCTCTATTATTGAATATTATTATTTTCATTTACCCCACAGTGCCATATGGTCAAACTGCATATACGTCAGGTGTGTGTTTTGATGCCTCTACAATCAGTGCTGTGAAGAACGCTGGTCTGTCTGAGTCTGGGTGAGTGTGTAGCACTTACTGTAACTGCAGGGTGTGACACAAACTAACACTTGACACACACAAATGCACTGTTATTTAAAAGTGTCATGGGTTTTTGTACTTGATTTATCTCTGTAGCTGTGACACAGTCCCTCCTGATGCAGCTGGTGAGGGGATTGTCTGCGGACCTGTATGGAAAAGGTGAGCCAAACTATCAATGTGTCTCGGTATGTGTTTTTCATGATGGCTACAGATGTCTATATTATGGAAATCTGAAAAGCATGTTTAGTTTATAGTGACCAGCACCAAGTCACTTCTGCATCTAACTTTCTAGTGCCTTTTTGAAGACAATTTGGTCAAAGAAAGAAAATGTAAGATATTTGTCTTTTACTCTTGAAAAAGGAATCATCCTTTAAGTATGAATATGATATGCTTATTATGTTAATTTACTGTTTGTATTTGATATACAAATAAAATCGGTTGGTACTTTGGTTTTCAGTTCACGTACAAGTGGAGTGAATGCAGTGAAAAGCTTTGAATGACACATACACAAGAAATCCATGGTATTCTTATGATTATTTGTCTTGTTTCCCAGATGCATTGCTGAATTGGCCTCTGTGGAGGTGGCCTCAGTTGATAAGGGCCCCTTCGTCACAGCCTGTGCTGAAAACCTGCTGTGTGGCTATCCTGACCGCGATGACCTCTACTGCCGCTTTAAACACGCCTACGCCCGCACCGCCGGCCTCAGCTCCAACGGATGCTGTATGTTTTATGTATACTGTTGGCCTACATCAAAGTTAGTTGGTTCAGATCAGTTTAGATTCAGCTGGAGAAAGTGTCTATCGAGAAGGAAGTTGGAGTCCCTGTTTAGACTAGTGTCCCTGCGACGTAGCAATGAATGAAGAGGAAGAAAATCCACTCTTGTATAGATGGATAGTAGAATCAGATCAGATGGTTTACAATTGAGGGCAGTTATGTCAGTCAGTATGGCGCAGTTGGGGTCCCCGAACTGGAGCCAGGCCTGGGGTTGGGGCTTATCCATGAGCCCCTGGTGCTTCCTCTCCTGTGGGATGACTATCCACTGGGGGTTTAATGGGGGTCGATAGGGTTCTCGATGATCCAATTGTGGAAAGTACAGGAGGTCAAGAGATTCCAATTGGAGATAGTCAGACTCACCTCCACACATGGCTGGAGCTTTGGGTTGGACCCTCTACTTCTCTAGTGCGGCACGGGGACTGAGTGGATAGCACTCTCGCCTCTCAGCAAGAAGGTCCTGGGTTCGAATCCCGGATGGGGCCCTTTTGTGTAAGTCGTCATGTTGTTGTCGGGGATCCATTTTGGTGTCCACAGGGTATCATGTCTGCTGCTAGTATACAGTATGATGTTGTACTAATAAAACCCCAAGTGAGGGCATGGGAGGTCGGTAGAGAGGTCCTTGCTCAAGTGGAGGAGTTCGAAGTATCTCAGGGTCTTGTGGTGGATAGGGAGCTGAGTCGAGAGGGAATCGATCCATCTCCCCACCCCTACTTATGGAGAATGATCAGCAACCCCAGTGAAATGGAATTCAGAAATAAAACTAAATCCAAACTCAAACCAGGCAGTTAATTTATGTATATCAATTGTAGTAATTAATGGTAAAGGTGCACTTTATTTATCCCTGTAGGGCAATGTTGAGATATAACCTTTTTCTCTTTTACAGCTACTTCGGTTTGCCTGAACCATCAGTGCGTGTCTCATGAGTTTTGTGCTGTGGCCAACAGCGGTAGAGCTGCCTGTTTCTGCAGAAGTAATGATGCCACCACCAAGGCTTTTCGAAAAAATGGCAAATATGGTACAAGGACTTGTTTTTGTCTTGTTGAATTTGGCTGAGATGCTCTAACATCAACAGTAGAACGGGCAATCTTATCTTTTCATAGGCCATGATACTAACAAAAATATTTTTGGTACATTTGTTGTAGATTGTTGAAAATTATTCTATGCTTCTGTTTGCTTTCTTACGAAAAGTCTCATCCAAATGAATGATTTTGACTCATAAAAATATATATACACATTGTGTCAATTGAATAATTATATAAAATGTTTAAAACATAAAGAAAAAATTGTGTGTGGAGAAACATGCAGATTTTGTTGAATAAATGACAAATGATGATGTTCTACAGGACCTCCCCCCACCTGTGATGCTGGCTCCGCCTCTTTGGAATTTTATGGCTGTTTATTGGAAGAGGAGGGCATCAACTACCGGGGGCTGCATCTGAATGATGAAAACTGCACAGGAGTTGTTGATTCAGATTACAATACTATAACCTTCGACTTTGATACGAACACCAAATGTGGTGGAACTTACAGGGTAATTACTTTCAATGATAAAAAATATATTGTGTGACTTACTATGATAAAAAAGTGTTTACAGCCCAAGCCCCAGGTTGTCTATAGCCATAATAAAGCAATCTTTAAATATATTTAAGCACACCAAAACATTGAACATGCAACATTATGGAAGCTGATTACCGTAATTGCTGGACTACAAGCCTCTACTTTTTCGAAATGCAGCCATTATATGTATTTTTACATACCTGCTTACCTGTTTGTTTATGTGAACAGCAGATCAGAGTTTATGGACTTTTATGGATTTTGACTACATTTTAGTGGGGATGAGATGGATGCTGTCAATAGTATAGATACACATTGGTTGAATTCACCAGAGTGCTTGGATCATCGTGAGACAATTGAGATAAAACCCTGTCATTTAGTCATCTATTGGCCTTGTTTTTTCCAGGAGCTGTTGGTTAAGTGTACAATGTAACAAGAAAACCTGCTGCTTATTCTCAGGCGCAGACAATATGTGGATAAAATTTACTTTCTTTTCAAATTAAACAGGTGCACTTAATTTTCCAAAAAGTACTGTTTAATGCTTAAGAATTTGAATGGTACTGTATATTGGAATACTGGTGTTGCAAACAGTTTCTAAAATGCCTCTGACTCACGGTGCTTCTTTTGTAGAGTCTCCCCACTACCATCGAGTTCCAAAACACCGTTCAGAACACATACAGCCAAACTGTGACATACGAACCCAAGGTGGCGATTATCTTTAGTTGCTCCTACAACAAAACGGCCGAGCTCACCCCTCTAAACTTCCATCTCATCAACAAGTATGTATTCTGCAGCTCTATTCACACAAAGATCCTAGATTAATAAACACATATGAGTGTGTTCACAGTAAAATGACAATTGAAGTATCTGGACATTGAAGAGATAGTGTGGAAAAAATCAAAAGGAAAGATTGACATAAATTTTTTTAGCAACATTTTAAACGACAAAATCAACCTCTGATTGGACCATTCTACTGTGACGCCAGTTACATAGAAAATAAAATGTCCTCAGTCTGAAAAAGCAGAAGATGAAATCCCACAATATATACATGGTTAACACAACAGAAGGAAATCACTTGAGATTAAAAAGGAATCGTAAAAAAATAAAAATGAATGAATTAATTAAATGACCCCTGAAAAATGTATAACGGACGTGATGAGGACGGCCCTCTTTTCTCTAAAAATGTAACTTGAGAAAAAAAAAAATCTGGTCTGTTTTCACATTTAATTGCTTGACAATATGACAGTATCACTTTGCATCTACTTTGTGTAAAAAAGTAGAATCTCTGAATCAAATGTTGACATCTGAAAATACCTATCAAACTTCCACAAAGCTCATTCCGTCAAATCATCACGTCCGTTACATAAAATAAACAGAGGAGGTGCTTGGAAACATGAAAAACATAAAATATCTTCTGATTATTAAAATGTAATTTTTGGCCTTTTGTCACACTTTTGTGCCCTTAAGTGTGAACAAGCCCATATATAAAAGGACCATATTGTTGTGACACACGTGATTTTGTACTTAGTCATTTTGGTGTGCACAAACTTTGGAATCTTTGGGGACACCATTTTTATGTTTTTGATGGCAGAAAGCAACTATGGGCTACAGTAGAATATCATCTATAACTTTAAAAGCTAATTGTATCAAGAAAACAGCCATACCATTTATTTTATGGAATATTTCAAACCATTAAGTAATAGGTTTACAAAATTACCTACAATGTTTGGGGAATTGTTAAATTGGGAATTTGTTAAATAAAAGTTATCTGTTGGTCAATATACTGTACATTAATGATGCGAAAAGGGTAAAAAACTTTGAACAAACTTCCCACAAAAAAACAATGGATATTTTGGTATAAAAGTGTAGTCTAAACACAATTTGGCTAAAAATTAATTTGAACCCAGACCACAATGAGGTTGACACCATAGGTCTGGACAAACTTTTCAATCAGATAAACAAGTCTTGCCCTCACCTCGCTTATGCGTATTCATTTTTACCCCGAGAGTAATGAAGTTCGGTTTTAGAGCATGATGGGTTGATTTCAATATGAAGCCGTTTGTATCACGCTTGTGTTGCAGCTTTGTGACCGCGACCTACACCACAGATTCCTTCAGATTCACTTTGTCCATCTCCTTCTACTACGACGCCGCCTTCACCAGTGCTGTGGCCTCGGGCGCTGAGCTCACAAAAGGCCAGAAGGTGTACGTGAAGCTGAAGAGTTCCCAGCTCAGGGGAACGGGTCTGGTACTGGTCATCGATGAGTGCTGGACCACAACCGAGTCATCCCCCACTGGCGCCAACAAGTACTCCCTCATCCAGTCCCAGTGAGATGAGTTGTCAATTCCACCATATGTTTTGTATAGTTGCAGCAAGTTTTTTTCCGTGAACCTTGAAAAAAAGACAATCAAGACAAGTTAGTATGTTTTTTCTTGCTTGACTGCAAGGAGAGATTACAACCAGACCTGCAGAGGAGACGGCCTCTGCTCATCTCCTCTGCCACAACATTTTTATTGACCGAAACAAACAAACGCATTATTCACTTATAAAAATGGTCCAAACCAGTCTTGTTGACACACTGGTTAAACATTCACCTTTCCAACATAGGAGCTCTGGCATCCCGTATTTGCCTCGGACATTTTTACTGAACTGAAACACATTTACTTACCATCATCCATCCATTGTCTTCCACTTCATCCGTTGCCGGGTCGTGGGGGTAGCAGTCACACACACTTCCTTCAGCTCATCCAAGAGGATCCCAAGGTATTCCCAGGCCAGCTGAGAGACAGCGCGTCCTGGGTCTCTTTTTCTAACATAATAACATAACAACACGGTTACCGTATCAACCCAATAATTAAACTAGATAATATAAACACACAATTATTTTATCATTTCCAGTTTTTTCTTTGCATACTATATAAATTCAGTATAATTTTTACTTAAGTTTGCATCATGTTTGAACAATTGTGATGGTTGTTTTACCACCTACAGATGTGAAGTTCCTGCTGAGAGGGAGTACCTCGAGGTCCTCTCCTCTGGATCTGGCGTAGATGCATCTTTTTCTTTTAGAGTTTATAATTATGTCGGCATCTCTGCAACTGACCTGTTCATGCACTGCTCGGTCAGTCTGTGCAACGCCTCCAGCGGCAACTGTGTCCCGGTAACCGCCTCCGTTTCTATCCACAAAATACAAGTGTACCGGTGCTGTGCAATGTGCTGTACAGTATGTAGCTCCACACTCAAACTGCCCTAGACACAACAACTGATTGAAACATAGTGAATATTTAACTTGATTTCCACTTTTTATGTAAATGCAATATGTTTGGATACAAACCGATGAACGGATTTGACAGACTCAATATTTGTTCAGTCTGTCAAATCCGTTCATCGGTTTGTATCCAAACCGATGAACGGATTTGACTCAATATTTGTTCAAGGGCGACAGTAGCTCAGTTGGTAGAGCATTGGCCTTAAGGCCAGAAGGTCGTGGGTTCAATTCCCACCTCTGCACCTTCTCCACCGACTCCCACTGATGACTGCTGTCGTTGTGTCCTTGGGCAAGACACTTAACCCCACTTTGCCCAAAGCCCCCACTGGAAGATCTCAGCTCCTGTGGACTCACCACCTGCAGAGGGTCAGTGAGGGGCTGGTGCTATGAGACTTGGGTGGCATCTCTGACTGCCACCCCCCTGACCCAGAAATGGATTAAAGGGTAGAAAATGGATGGATGGATGGAATATTTGTTCATACATACTGTAGTTCTAACATGTATGTATAGTTATTTTCTTCATATTTATTTACAGACCTGCACATATTAGTCTGAGAGAGTTTCCCTGGTCGCTAAGGAGTAAGTATATTTTTTCTTCATAAATTTTGTACCGTAGTGTCTCAACAGACTTTGTACAGAAAAGAGTAAACAGTGCTTACATTTCATTTCAAACTTCATTCAAACTTGCAAGAGTACAAACAATTAGCATGGAAGAAGTAGATGCTCACTTGGCGCATTTGACAAAACCACCACCACAAAGCCTCTCATCCAGACAAGACACCGGCCCAGTCCCTCTCTGACCCTACTTCGCTCTCCCATTGGTCTCTCTGTCCAGAGGGCAGAGGCAGCCTTTTAAAGCAGACAAAATGTAATATAACTCCACGTCTAGAATCTAAAATTGTTTATCAATGGTTTTTTATAGATGCCTTTTCTGCTTTTTAAAACAAAATTAGTGCACATAAATTAGTTTTAGAACTTTCTCAAGTTAGATTATATTCATTACAATGGCATTATTTTTGGTTTGCTGCAAGTCATTTTTAAATTTTGGGGGAAAAATCTAATTCAACTCCTCTGGTTGTAGAATAGATAGAAGCGGAAAGGATGTTTTACCATTCATACTTGTTTCACTATATATGTTCTACTTAAGACACATTCTAAAACATTAAATTACAAAGTAAATAGTCCCCCTATCATTTTGAACAAAAATAATATATAATATGTATTTTTGTAAATGAATCAGTCTAGAGCTTCAGGCTTTAATTCTGAGATATCATGAAAATAATGTTGGAAATACTAACAAATTAAAGTTTCTGACTGTGTCTGTGCTGTTTTGTTACTGGAGTTAGTCAAGGCGGTGGCACAAACAATAATGGGGAATTCAGTTCTGGCAACATTCATTTCTGCTTTTGTTTTTAGGTCATTAAGAGCTCACAGAGACACCAGGCACTTGCATGACAAACTTTATTTTTTCAACACACAATTTTAATGGGAAAGTTAAAACAATTCTTTGATCCATGATTAAAATCCACATGTCCTCATCAGGTTGTGATCATGACGACTCAGAGGCTCCAGACTCTCGCAACGGACTTTGACTTCTGAAAACCTGGATTGCTACCCTGCTGACGGTGTGAAAAAATCTGCGACTGCCACAAGTTTATGACCATGATGCTAACTTAACTTCCTCGCACCAGCAAGAACTCAAAGTAATGACACCCTTATTGTCTACATCTAAGTTTTGTAAATTTCAAAGTAAAAAACAATTATTTTGTCATACTATTGTGATGAATAAAATAAGTGTGAAGGCGCCCTTTTTTACGGTCATTTCCTTCTTGTTTTGCAAATCAAGAATGAATTTAAAAAAAATAAAACCAACGTATATATACAAATATGTTGAGTTGTAGCACAGATGACGGGAATACACGATTTTCAAGTTATTCCAATATAAGGGTCTTTCTCTTAGATTGAAACTGCACTCTTCAGACAACTGATCTAAGGTGTGTAGGTCAGGGGTCTCCAACCTTTTTGATTGGAGAGCTACTTTTATGAAACAACTCCCTTCAGCAGTTTTAGTACTATTGTAGTCTATATAAGAACTACAGCCGATCGTAGAGAACACATATAACATAAACCACTGTACCGTACCATTAACCTCTTAAGAAAAAAGTAAGTTTCTTACGTTTCGTCTTCTGCTGCTCCAACAAATTAGACTTTCCCCATCCTTGCTTAGTCTCTTTCTCTCCGTAAGTCTTCATTGAAAAATAATATCCACTTGTATTTCCCAAAGTATAATCCATTCTTCAGAAATAATAAAAAGATGTGCATTTTTCTGTTGCAAAAAAAAAAAAAAAACGCTCCAAAAAATGTTCAGGCTTCTCTTTCACATTTCACCAGGTTTGAGCTTTGTTTACCCCCACAAACATCATATCCACGTTTTCCTTGAGTCCTTAGCTTCAAAAAGAGAGGTTCTATGAAAAGATAGGAGCAGCAGGAGCCTTGTGAAAAAGACAAACCGCATCCACTTGCACAGGGGTCCGTTTTCCCTTGTTGTTGATTAGCATGGCTAGCGCTATGAGCTAGCTCTGAATGATTGACGTGTCTAAGTAGCCAATAAAAAGAGCTTTCTTTCAATGGGTGGGACTTGTAGGAACTCTTTTCATTTTCACAGTAAAAGCGTGCGTAAAGACGCTGTTATTAATGCTGCTCATAGTTTATATGCATTTACACTACTAAAGAAATAATTTTCAAAACATGTAAAAGAAAATCACACAGATTTGTAACTTATAAGTACCAAAACTAAAAAATATGCTTTTTATGATGGTGAAATGTTAGTAAAGCAGTTTGGCACAATTTGGCACAAATGTTGCCAAATTGGTTCCGAATGATAAAAAAGAGAAACTGCATAAAAACTATAAAACTTAGAAGTCTGAAACTTTATACAGTTGTTGCCAACAACACAATAAACACATTGGCGTCTAAAATGTTCTTCTTCCAATGAAGTAGGCATTTATAGGCATTTATAAATTGAACCTTTTAGGCGAGGGTAAAAAAAAACAGGTTTTTTTCCCAAACTTCAAAGGATGCAGAGTAAAATAGGAATGACATACATTATTTCAGTGTATATTTACATAAACTAGAAGGGCCTAGCTTTAAAATGATGCATCACACAAGCATGTGAGATGTAAGATGTGTTTTTAAATAAGCAAAGACATTTGGGTATGCCCAACTTTTGTGCACGAGCCAAAACAGATGTAGCAGTTTAAGAGGTAAATAATTGGAATCTCACCAAACCTGATATTGTTGGAAAAACTTCAAACATTCAGCCATTGAGCGCATTATCTTGAATGCACTGCGTAAAATATTAGGTGATAATTACTTTAAGTGGTTTTTTGTCCTAATTTGAGAAACATTCTGACTGTTATAACAAGATATGCCAATGGGACCACGCCATTTAGTCTTATTTCAAGGACTGGTAAATGTAGACATTTCTTGAGTCTTTTTAAACAAGATAATTTCTCTTCTCGTGCTTTAAGACAGTAAAAAACAACAAAAACATGAAACAGTTTTTGATTTATTTTTCATAACCTTTTGCAGTGTGGGCCACCATCTTGGAGGCCCATTCCGGTCTTGCTTTAAACATATTTAAGTAATCTCGAAGTTGTTCAGCTCAGGTTGATCAAACAAAATGAATCCCGCCTTATTCTGCTTGATGCAGCTTTAGACTTAAAAACCAAAAACATTCACCATGTATTTTTGCGTTTGCACGACAGCCTTTTACTGACCAAATGTTAACTCAACCACGGAGGACAACAGAGTTCATTGTCACTACTCATTTTGCGTTGCGACTTCACCCTACTCTAACACTAAATTGTTTGTGCTGGCAAATGGAAAACCTATTAGCTTTAATTAAATTGCCTCTCCGAGTGTGCTAACCTCCAGCGACTGTTTTGTGCATTCGTTCCGTGACAACATAAGCAGTGGTATACTGTCTAAGGAGTAACTCGTTCTCAGTTTGGCCTTTGCATAACGGGGCGTGCGTCGTGATTCGGGCTAATGGGTATTCTGA